TTTAAATAATTTATTAGGATAATGTCAAGACTTCTTTTACAGACCATTTTTTACAACTCTTTTTACAATTCACGCCAAAAGTCCATTTTTTAAAATTTAAAATGATTTATGTCAAAAGCCTTTTTTTGCAATTCACCAAAGGTCCATTTTTTAATACAATTCAAAAAAAACCATTTGCAATTCGCCAAAAGACCATCTGTTAATATTAAATAATTAAATTTATTTGAGGTCAAAACCACTTCACCATATTGGGATATTTTAATATCCCATTTTGTCATTTTCATTTGCCTTCCTTCATTCCTATTGGTCAATTTAGTGATTGGCAAAACAAAAACAATCGCCAATGACTAGATAGTATCTCATAGACTGTTTTCATATTAGGAATACCCTCAAAGAAAATTTTATATGTAGTGAAAATTTTCAAAGAAAATTAGTTTTAATAATATTTTGTGTTACATCTATTTTGGAACCGGTTCCAAGAACCGGTTCGAACGGTTCGGTTCGGTTCTATTGTAACCGGTTCCATGGAACCAGAATCGAACCGAACCAAACCGCCCCATCCCTACTGTTATCCCATGTAGTGAAAATTTTCAAAGAAAATTAGTTTTAATAATATTTTGTGTTACATCTATTTTGGAACCGGTTCCAAGAACCGGTTCGAACGGTTCGGTTCGGTTCTATTGTAACCGGTTCCATGGAACCAGAACCGAACTGAACCGAACCGCCCCATCCCTACAACCAATTGTATATCAGGCTATCTGGAATCAAAACCAGTTTATAAACTCAAATTAAATAAAACATATTGCCGATCATTCCATATATGCTTTTTATAAAATTTTTTGTTGTTGTTTTGGAAGGAACCACCGATAGTAATGATTAGATTATTACCAAGCAAGCAAAGGAATTTTTTATTTGTTATTTATTATTTATTATTTATTTATGTCATTATATCATTTATTATTGTGAAGTTGCTTTTTAAAGCATAAAACATCAAAACATCAAAACTCAAAAACGCAACAACGACAACGACAACGATTATGATAGTGTTGTTTTAATAGAGATGACACATAAAATAAATATCTCACGTTTTTTGCAACTAAAAAACATATAAATGCGAGTGAGTATACATATATATGTGTGTATTTTTATCTATTTATTAATATAAGCATATCGTCATCTTTATATTTACCAATGCCATTTTCTCCGAAATAAGATTTAATTAAAACAAAATTAATTAGAATGAATGCCGTATCAATAGTCACGGTGGCTATACATAATGGCATCTGTGATGGACTTATTTATTTATACATAGATAGATTTGTATATAGATTTATTATTATTTATCTTTAATTACTGCTTGATCAACAAAAGCTGTTTCTTGTGCCAAAAGACAACCAGAAAGAGTATTCTTTGATGGAGGTTCATATGATAAACATAATGTTTTCAATAACTCTATGAAAAATAGGGATGGAAAAGTCGGTCCAGGTCTGGTCCTGGTCCTAGGACCTGCTGGTCTTTTTTCGCAGACCTGAAGACCAGGTCCTGGACCAACCAGCTAGGATCTGGTCCTAGACCTGGTCTTTGTATCACAATTCTCAAAAAAAAATTTTCTGATCAACATTGAGTTACTAACAAAATTTTGAAATGAGTAACTTCATTAAAGAAAATTTATTAATAAAAATTAATCAAATACATTATTTTCAATCCAACTTTTACTATAAAGTATTGCACAAGCAGTTTCTGGATGCAATCTATTTCTTATAGAAGTAACTGTATTACCAGCTACTGAAAAGGATTGCTCACAAGCTACACTTGTGGCTTGGATTGACAAAAAATCTCTTGCCATTTTTGCTAATATCGGAAATTCTTGTTGGTGAACTTGCCACCATGCTAGTGGCATTGAAACTTCATCACATGGCAATTCCAAATATCTTTCTATTTCATTATTATCATTAATGTTATTATTAACATACCTTTCTAATGTAGATGGTTGTGGTGATTGATTATTTGACTTGTGATTTTTTAGTTGTTGAAAATATTTACGATAATTATATTGTGAATTAGTTTGTGGTGGATTTAATTCTTGAATTATAGAATATTCATCTAAATACTCTTGAAATTTTATACAAAGATTAGAAATTGCTGATGATGATTCTGAACCTGGTTGAAAATTTGATAATTTTGCTTGTGGGTTTAAAATAGTTGCTATAATTGTTGATTTATCTATGATTGATCTATACTCATCAAGCTTAGTATTAATAGAACCAGCCAATTCATATTGTAATAAATCATCATCTTCAATATATTCCTCAAGGAATTCTTGTATTGCAGAAAATACCAATTTAACATCAGCAATTGTGGGATAAGAGGATGCAGATAATAATTTTGTTGCATGTTCAAGAGGTTCTAATAACATAACAGTATCCTATATTTTTTAAATAAAAATTAATATTTATTTAACATAATATGAAAATTTAATTATAAAATATACCTCTATTTTGGTTAAACCCTCATTTGTTGGAAGTAAATCATTGATAACTCTTTCATTTGCAGCCAACATTCTAAGTGAAGGTTCTAATTTTTGAAATTTTTTAATCATATAATATGTGGAGTTCCACCGTGTTTTAATGTCTAATTCAGGTTTCAAGTACTCCAAATTTTGAAATTCACACAGTCGTTTTAAAGAATCACACAACAATACTGAATTTTTTATTTTAGACATTACTTCACGAACTTTTGAAACTTCTACATCAATTATTTCTATTCCTTGTTTTGCTGCAAGATTAAGGATATGTGCAGCACATCTATAATGTTTGAATAAAGTATTATTATTTGCCTTTAATTCATCTTCTATTGTTCTACCTGCTGCAACCATAGCAGCTTCATTATCACTGGTTAATCCAATTAACTTTCCCAATAAATTGTACTCATTAATTATATTCAAAATTTCTACAGAAATGTTATGACTAGTATGTCTTTCTTTAAATGAAATAATGTCTAATAAGAAATGTTTGAATTCCCATTTTGAATCAATGTAATGAATTGTCAACCCTAAAAAAGAGTCATTGTTCAATGAGGTCCACATGTCAGTGGTCAAAGAAGCTTTTCCAGGGATAGCATCAATTGTTTTATTTATTAAATTTTTTTTTTGATTAAAAAATTCAATTACCAAATTTTTTAACTTATGTCTATCTGGTAATTTATATCTGGAGTCAAACTGTTTGATCATTTCAATAAAATACTTATTTTCAACAATATTAAATGGTTGTAGATTACCTATTACCCATCTAATTAATAAATTATCTCTTTTATTTCGTTCATTTTCTGGCCAAGGATTAATTACTTGAAAATTAAGCATGGTTTGTAATGTATTTGATTGCTTTTTTTTTATTTTAATATTGTGTAAATTGACCATGTGCTGTTCAATAGATGAGTTGCCAGATTTATCAGAAAAAACATAGCTACACTTTTTACAGACTCTCTTTTTAGAATTGTTGTAACTTATATAATTCCAAATATCTGCAAATTTTTTTCCATTTTTTTCATTATTAACAAAATTAAATTCAGTATCATTTGTTGCTTCTTCTGGATTGTCAACATTAATTATCTCATTGACCAAAAAATTATTATCAGATGGTTGAGGAGTTTCTATTGTTTGTGTCTCTTCTAAGCTATTTCCTTGGTCATTATAATCATAAAACTACAATAATTATCATTATAAAAATTATCTGAAACATCCATTTTAAAGAATTAATTAAAAAAATATCAATGTATATTGTATATCTTTTTTATGAAAAATCTTTGTTAAGAAAAATTGTTATATTATTATCATTATTCTATTATTACTATTATTTGTTATCATTAATATTTGTTGTTGTTATTATTTTATTATTATTATTGTTGTTGTTGTTATTATTATATTATATTACTATCAATTAATTACTATCTCTATTATTTGCACATATGAGGTGGATGAATTGCTTATAATTGCACAAAATGAATTAAAAAAAAATTAAAATTATTTATTTGAAGAATATTATATCTTAGGTGATCTAACAAGTATTTTGATGCTAAAAATATTAATGTAATAATAATAATTAGTGATGTTTATTTTTTTGAAAAACAAAAATAATATATTTGAAAGAATAATTGTGTAAAAAAAAAAACTTAATTTTCAATTCTTAAATCTGATTGGCCGGACTTTTTAGGACCTGGTCCTGGGCTGGTCCTAAAATTTGGACTGGTCCGGACCGGACCTGCGGACTTTTCCATCCCTAATGAAAAAAGGATTCTTTACAATGCAAAAGGGAATTCCACAAACAATAAATGATTTTATTAATGCCCGATTTATATCATTAATACATTGAGGTCTTAGTTTAGTACTTTTAATATAATCAGGAAGTATTCATTGATTAATCGGTGAGTTTTCCAATCAAGTTTAGGAACAGGTCCATGATTTCTTACATAATGTAGATCATTGGGGGTGATGAAACCTTGTTCCAATAGTAAAGGAACAGGTGGTTCACAGTTGAAAGGATGTTTTCCTGAGTTAATTGATTACTGGATTTTCGTTTTCTTGTTATTGTTTCACTAGTCTTCGTAACTAACTTTTCCGAAAAAAAAATTACAAACTTCTACAGGTACTTTTACACATAAATTACCAAAGTTATTTTCAAGAGTAGCAGGCAAACCTTTATACCAAAACTCCACACAAAAAAATTACATGTAGCATTCCAATGTCCCTTTGAAATTTCTCTTCATGTATCTGCTCCATATAATTGACTTTGGTTTTCCACTAATTTTTTGGGAAGACACAGTCAATGTATCATCATTTGAAACAACAATAGGAGGCACATTACTAATGAAAGAAATATTTTCTTCTGTAACTAAAGATGAATGGTAATTTATTACTTATTTACAATTAAAATATTAGGTTATTTATATATTAGATTATTTTATTTATTTACAATTAAAAATTCAAACTGTAACTTTATAAACATGTGATGGATGGCATGTAATCCTTTTAATGAATCAATTTGGAATTTTGTTGTACATACTCCTGATTGTAGTCAGTATTTTATGGAGCCTTCGAAACTTATCAAAAACTTGAATTTAAATTTTTTAAAATCATTCCATATTTGGTTTCAGGATTCGGATTAGTTTCAGATTTCGGATTAATTTCGAGAATTTTGAATTAGTTTCGGAAAAATACAAAAAATCCGATACATGTGATTAAGTTTCGCTGAAACATTACTCAAGATCATTGATTTTATTATAATAAATCACATGATATAATTTCGTGACTGAATTTAAATATCCAGTAAATATACAGTGGTGTGCAAAAAAAATGACAATTTTTAAAATTATTATAGTTTCACAACCATCACACCAATTTAACTGTA